AATTGTAAATTTTCAAATAATTTTAAGAAGTGTCAAGTATTTCAAGAAAATCTTTTAACATGAATTACAAATTAAATTGTATCCAAGTTTAGAGACAGCTAAATCATCAAGAAAATGAAGTGTCTTTTTAAATGTTTTCTCTGCAAGTGTAAATTTATAATAAAGAAATTTGCAACATTTCAAGAGAATCTCTAAATATGACTTCGAGATGACATTGTATAGAAATGAAGAGATAGCTACATGTATATCCTCAGGTAGTGCGTCTTTGTGGTTCTGAGAGCTCTATAACATACATTGTATTTCAGCATCGATTTCCTTGTGCCCTCATATCACTAACTTTACAATGGCCCATATTGTTTTGGCAAGAGACTTCACTTAAAACATAACCCAAATGGGGTGTAATTATTTTCATGGATTTTCCGCGAGTTCTGGACCATAAAACAACCAAGACTTCATAGCCTAATTCCAAAGGGATTAATAAATAAAACAAGTAATTGACATTTACTTTGTACGTATCACTTCAGCAAAAGTTCAAACAAAGTTATGAGAGTTTAGTTCTAAAAAGAAATAAAATATCTGAATCACACAGTGAAATCCCAATTTTGATTTCTAAATTCATCAATGATGCATTGTAATAAATCTGCATAGTCAAAGTAATGAGAGTTTGGCAGAAATGAAAATTAAATCTTTTGAAAACTCGCAAGTCGTTTTTGAACTCCACAAACAACCAACGATAAAACCACTGAAGACCAAAGTGGAATCACCATATTCATTTTCTACTGATCATTAATTCGTTTTGATAAAGCCTTATTGTCAAAGTAATTGGAATTCAGTAGAAATTGAAACTACAATCTCTTTGATTGAGGTGATACACAACTGACATTTTGGAACTTGAAAACACTCATCCCCCTGCCCTGTAGAACTTTTGAATACCAAAGTGCAGTTATAATTTCTTTTTTTTTTACTTTATCAACGATTCATTTTAACACTTGCACATTGCACTTAATTGGTGATTGACAAATTGAACAAAGCAAAATATTTCAAACTTTTTCAGTGTCAGTCGTCATATTTTCCAAGTATTTTGCAGATTTGGGTAACTTCAAACTCGTGCTGAAGGGATAAGTGCTAATAAATAAACTGAATGGTGAAGTCATATTTGTACCAATGGGTCACTGTACAGTAACTGTAAATACCACAGACATGCATAGCCAAACAGAGGTCAAATGAAAACAAACAGTTATCGCAAACAATAACATGCATTCTTAATAAATTTGTTGAAAGTGGATAACACCTCAGAGAAGAATTTGAATAATGTGAATATACATAAACAAAGAATTCTTCAAAAAAAAATTACAGGCAAGCCATAGAATTTGTAACACAGCTCTTCAGAGAGTAGTTATATCAATGATATTAATCAAATTCTAGTTTTCAACTGTAATTTTCCACCCTAATGGGATCACTACCTTATCGTGGTAGGGTGGTTTGCGTGTCCCAATAACCTGGAGAGCTATGCCGGCTGGAGTCTTGTACCCTGGTAGGGCCACCCATGCCGGACAGGTCGAAGGGTAGGGGCCTGACAAAAAGTGATCCCCTGGCCCTCCAGGTTGGGGGTTTGGCACAGGGTCAACAACCCTGTCCTGTTAAAAAAAAAAACATTATGTTACGGAAACAGTCAACTGTAACAACCACTGCTAAAATCAATCAGTCCTTAACATGTTTTCATAAGGCTAAAGGAGTCTTCAATTTAGCAGTTACTCAATTATTAATTTGCCAGATTATATTCACTTTCGTAGCAATTAACTTAATATCAAGACACTGTGGCCACAGCAGCAGAGTTTTTGTTTAGCACGTCAATAAAAAATCATTGGACTACAAAATGTAGTCACCTGTTGTTTGTTGTTTTGAAATGGTTAAAGGAGACGGTCACTCCAAAAATGTAAATTAAACGTATATTTTTTTTGTCAACGCTAATAAAAACCTTGCACCAAGTTTAGCCACTCACCGAAGTTTCAGCCTCTAAAGTGCAGGTTTTCCTTGTGAAATTCGTCTCCAAGGAAGCAAAAAATTTGACATCATGGCCACCATTTTGAACAGTACTCAGCAGCCAGGCTGCATTTCCGTTGCGTCAATTCCGTTCAAGAAATTTTGTCCAAATGGCTTCCGACAAGCCTTTTGACTACCACGCTGGGTTATGGCTGCTCTTGAGCCATATTATTTTCAGCTAAACATGCTCCAGACTGGGAAATGATAGCATTGAAGATAGTGAAGTGGATAATCCCTTGGAAAAAATACATTTTGATGCAAGTCAGTTGCAGGTTTTCTCCTTCCCGCCAATTTCAAGTCGTACAGAATGATGTCACATAAACATGGTCTGGCAGCCAGGTACAGTTTCGAAATGATGGCCTCTGAAGTCATTTCTTTTGAGACCAATTTTTTCAGGATAGCAGGCACTTCAGAGACTGAAACTTCAGTGAAAGGAAAAACCTYAATGTTTACAGGCACAGGCGAGGACAAAAAAGTAAGCTTTTTGGAGTGACCTTTTTTAAGTTAAAAAAAAAAACCCTTGACTTCTGATGCCGACTTCCATTTTTCACTAGCTAGAAAGGAAATTTTGGGYAAAAAATTTCTTTACAATTGGACTGCAGAATATTTTAAAATATACATGCACATGTAGAACAAGAATGAATGAAATGATAAGTCATCTACATTCAGAAGTGTTCTCACTCTCCTGAAAAATTACTGTATTTCTTCAGTTGGCCCCTTCTTTCTGTAAAGAGTCCAACCTGCCCATTTATTTTTACTTGTTGTTCAGTACCCCTATTAGGTATAAAAGCAGAATTATACCCTCGAGCCCATATTACTATTAAGGCCACTTCCCCTTCTCAAAGACATGTATGGGCAAAAATCAGGAAGTCCAACAAGGGTTTCAAGGAGGAAATACAGAAGAAACATTAAAATATAACCAAATGAAATGTTATCCACTTTAAAACTACATGTAATTTACTTACTGAGCCAATGAAAGCGTTTTAAATTATTTACATGTCTGTGGTATTTCAAAATTAAAAGCAGAACTTGGTTTACATCAAGGAATGCAATGATCAACTCAAAACTAATCCTTAACCTGGGGAACCCCGGAAATAACAGTGAATCATGACAAGGTTGGAGAATGAGAGCTGGGGGGGGGGGGAAGGGGATTGAGGAATACATTACAGTATTGTATGTCCCATTCTGAGGTGCCCAAAGGAACAACTGTCAAGTTGCCAATCACAAAGAAAAAAAGTGGACAAGTATCATTAAGTAGTTTGTCTAGTGTAAAAGCACTGATGCTTTGAGAACCTGTCAAGCCTTTATGAAAAGGTAGTAATCAGTGACTGATTAGTTATAGTCTGATTCAACGGATTTAACTTTGGCGAAGTTTGTGTTGAGGCTGGTTGAAGAACATCATGTGAGTTCTGTTGAGGTCAAGAAATACCGTGGTGACTACTGTAGCGGCAAGTAGTTGTTGGTATAAGTTGAGTAGTGTCGGTTCTTAGTTAGTTTGGTGGTCACTTATTGAAAGTGTGTTGTACTATAGGTTCTAATTGAAATGGAGTTAGTTCAGAAGTTTGGTCTAGCTACTTTTTTTCAAAGGTACAGTACAAAAGGGAACCTTCCCATCTTCTCCATTTGTTCCCTGAACTTTCCCTGCTTTTGAGAAACAAAAATTTCTCTGACTATTTTTGGATACTATAATAATAGTGCATTAATTAAGAAAGGAAAAAAAAGTGGTGCATTTTAATTCTTTTTCTGCAGCAGAATTTAATGACTTGGGTACCCTGCAGGGATGTCCTTGGGGGATTCCCCTGAAGGAACCAGGTTCAGTTTTGACTTGATCCTTACATAAGAACACAAGTGTTTACCTGCTCCTGGATTGCAAAAAAAAAAAAAAAATCATCATTCTAAAATAAGCTTGTAAATAGTATCCTCCTCCTGTCTTGTCCTCAGGTATTTTGTCTTCAGCTGTCCAAAAGAAGAAATAGAAAAATTCAGGTACTGTAGAAATGTTTATGGTGTAGTGGCATAACAACAGGGGCCCATTTCTCGAAAGCCCTGGAATCTTTTTGGACCCAAAAAGCCATTTTTAGTTAATCGGTACTTAAAGACAGAGAGGTGTATACGCCTGAAACTTCTTATATGAAGAGGACCTCTGTTCATATTAAGAATATATGAATAAAACAGCTCCATAGTCAAAAGGTTTGAAATTTTACTATGGCTTTTCGGGTGCAAAAACTTTTCAGGACCTTCAAGAAATGGGCCCCAGGTGAAATGGTCCCCAGATTAAGAAGCCTTCCCAAAGTCCTTGAGTTATGATCTTCACGCAGCACTTTACTCAAACAGTAACTTACTTCACCAAGGATTATAAATGGATACCAGCAACCTCAAGTTGAACCCTGTTAATACGGTCACCAATGGGCCATGAAAATTTGGCCGTATTAACAGGTTGACCATATTGATGGGGTAGGATCAAATTTCATGACTGGTCTAAATTGAGTGATGTCTTAACCGAAGTAACAGATATTAATATCACAATTGCGCTTCTGAACCACTGTTCTTATATAAACATCCAGAATACAGATGGAATTTTAAAAAAGTTGCAACTTCAATCAGTTCATACAATATTTAGTTTGAAAAGATGAACATAACCCTCACCTGGACAATCACACTATACAAACTACTGATAATCTTAGGTTTAAACCATTTACTATATAACTGGCCAAGTGGCCATTTAAACAGGGTAATATTGTAAAGGATTATACAGGTTGGGATTTCAAAATGTGGAAGTTGACCATATTAAAGGGCTGGCCGCATTTACAAAGGGTTTTCCTATGAGAAAAATGTATGGGCATTTCGCTAGGACAAAAGAATGTGGCATAATAACAAGGTGACTGTAAGGTGGGGTTCCTATATTCTAGAATAACATGACAAAATGGCAATAAAAACTGGATTAAGAATAATTTGAGTTCTGTGTGAGATTTATTAAGCATGTACATTATACACATGTACATATAGTCACTATAACTTATACAAAATGATTAACTATAGGTTATGATCCCCTATGAAAGTAGCAATTAAATTTCATGGCTATTAACAGAATATGCTGAAAGTAGTGACATTCCAAAAGTAAAGCCCAGGCCAAATGGACCCACAAGAGGCAAGCTCAAACATGGGTGTACTTGCAACTTCATTTGGCCAGGCCTTGGGTGCACTTGCATTGACCTGCAATGACTTAAGCTCACTTTGGTCAAGATCAAATTTGCATGCAAGTGGATGCAAGTTTTCACAGTTGGGCTTAACCCACTGTAGTCAGCAACATGTATCACATGTGATCACTGATGGAAAATAAATATACAGTGACAATTAATAAATAAAATATGACAGATCATTGATTATTCAAAGTGAGGTGGCAGCACTTTAATCCTTCGTCTCTTTGGTTACGTTTATTTCTCTGTCAAGTTCTGGTGTCAACTGATTCCTGAAATGTGTTGCAACTTACCCTACCACAAGTGAAAAGTTTTAAGTGTTAAATTTATAAAAAAAAATACTAAATGAAAGAATGCATTTTGTTGTTATCAAGGGCTAAATTAATTAACATTTACTGCAGGAGGGCAACTGGTTTTCACAGGCAGGCAAAATTCTTTCAACTGAACTTCTTCAGAGGAAAACCTTTTCTGTAGACGGTCAAACCAGCCTGGCAAAATCATCCTCACAGCCAGTCAATTTTCCAGCCAGTCAAAGCGTGGCTGGAAAAGCTAACCCAAAGTACTAAAACATATCGTCTTTTAGCAATTATTCAACACTGTCAGATTAATTCGTGGTACATGGTTTACGTAAACCTGTCAAAAAATTTTCCTAGTTAAAAGCATCCCTTAATCTAAGTGTTTATTGCAAAATACTTTAGGTTTGCGAATTCAAATGACACAATCTTCAAGACAGATCTTGNTTATTATTATTATTATTATTATTATTATTATTATTATTATTATTATTATTGATTGGCTTGTCCAACAAGGATTGGACAAAGTTGTGTATGTTTTTAAAGGTATGTTTTCTCAATTTTAGGTATTTCTTCATTACTTGTAAGCACTTGTTAAATAAAAGCAACAACTTGACCTATCTTTTGTTTATCACATATCGAGAGATTGGAAACAATGTGAACACAACTATTTCCTATTTCGCATTCAAAACTTAAGCCAAGCATTTTTTAAATTCATGAAAGTCAACCTGGAGTGCACTTTAAAATACTTTAGGTTTGCGAATTCAAATGACACAATCTTCAAGACAGATCTTGCAAGCTTAAAATGCAATATTGCATCATCATTTACATGTAAAATGTCTTGATTCTTCACAGAAAAAGTAGCCTGCCAATACAGGAGCCTATCATGGCTCGAGGCTGGGGACACGTCCACCGCAATCCCTGCACAGTTTAATAATAGAACAGGGGAAAGGGCGCTGAAAAAGCCCAAGTTTCCTGCCAAAGAAAAGCAAATCAGCCTGCATGGTGAGCATTGTGTAGTGTTTATTTTTTACAGAGAAAACAAGGAGTGTTTGCGCAGCAAAAGCGGAAAACTGTTTCTTCGTGCAGAAACTACAGCATATCATAACAGGCTATTACAAAGTAACGTTCTCATGTGAAATCCAAACAAAAACTTGTGCATGTGGACATGCATGTGTATTGAAGTTAGAAATCAGTTTTCCTGCCCCATCAAGTGTCAAAATTTTTGGCATCTTTCCAAGAGCTTTTCTATCACGGTTTTGTTTTGACATCATTTACGTGAATCAATAAAATTAAACTGATTCTTTTACAGCATGGCAATTAAAAACCCTTAAGCATTCATGACTAAAATCAGACATTGGGGAATACATGTATTTGGTTAAGCAGGGCTTAGTATTATGTATTTTTGCTTATTTTTATACCGTTGTTGCACATACATGCACATGTAGTTCTAGAAAATATCCATACCTCCCACACGGAAGTTTTATAACAGTTGCCATTTTTGTGGATGGAAGAGTCCAGCTTCGTGTATGTTGTTGACACTACTGAAAGAAAAAAAATCTAAGTTTAAATTTTTTGGTTATTGATTCAACGAACTTTTAACCAAGTATTGAAATAAAATACTAAAGTTGTGAGATTTCTCAAACAATCATAGTTGTTTAATTGTAAACATTTTCAACGGGATTGTCTTTATTCAAGTCAAAATATTCAAAACAAATGGTTCTTATACAACTATCCTCTAGCTATCCTCTAGCAAACTGTTAAAAACAAAATCATTATATACTTCTTACATAAATTTATACATTTCACACATTTCTTGTAGAAATGTATGACACTTAGCTTCTTCCAGAACCCCCCCCAACTCCCAAGAAATTCCAATCCCTTCTGTGGGGGGAGTATGGATATTTTCTGGAACTGTACAATATAAAGAAATAAGTATAATCAGAATCAACTAACATGTACTGTTGTCTTTTAAGTCTTACCATAGCAAATACTGAAAAGTGGAACAATTTATTCACTGACTAATGACAAAAACTGCAGAGGTGTTGGAAGGCGACGATCCCAGGGGCTGGGCATTTGCCCTCTTTCTTAGTCCCCACCCCG